TTCAAACTCCATGGATGTTGTTCAATGTACCTTCTTATAAACAAATTTGGGAATTTCCTGTGTGCATTGATTTGCCGTAGATTCGATCGTGCATTGTTCAGCTTTTAAACAAGCAGGAATTCCTTTGATTTTACAAATATTTGTTTGCTTAATGTATTTTTAACGTGAATAAACAATAAAAGCTTGGAGAAGATATGATTTTTGTTTACCGTGCTACACTCTAACTTAAGCTTATCTTGACAACAAAAGGGCCTCAGCAAATTAGTGTCGTCATTAGCTTCGGGCACCTAAGCAAATAAGCTTATTTTGGCATTGAAGAATGCCGATGCTAATTTTGAGGGCTGTAGCAATGTAGATTATTATTCCATTGTATACAAATGTAATGTTTAGATGATAAGAACTCAACAAAGAAATTCAATTATGTTTTTTTATTTGTGCGAAAAGAATAGGCCTATATTTTTATTTTGTTTTGTTTGTTTTGTTTTTTCAGTAATTTGTCTTTTGGATTATAAATAGAAGTTGTTATAATTTATTTATTTTTTGTATACTGTATTTGCAAGGTATTGTAATTAAAAATATCTGCATGAAGAAAAGGCACAGTACTAGCTGTTGTTTATGTAGATGAAAGTAAGAAAACTAGTTAGAGAATCAGATTGCTAAACTGCAACTGAATGTAAGTAGTTTCAAAAGAAACACTGTGAAAGAAAATACATAATTACAGTACAATTTATTTACAGTCCATTTATTTATTGTTAGTGAAAATGAAATTACCAAAAAAGTGTTTGACTGTTGGACTTTAGTGTAAATAGTGTTACATTCTAAAATCAAACATTGCAACACAATTCAAAAGTTAAAATTCAACACTGTTAAATGGCATCTTACAGTAATTATTTTTCATTTTTTTCTTAGGTAGGGAGGGGGACACCCTCTCCCAAACCGACCATCACTCAGACAACACCATTCAAAAGTTAAAATTCAACACTGTTAAATGCCAATTGAAACACTGTTAAATGGCATCTTACTGTAATTATTTTTCATTTTTTTCTTAGGTAGGGAAGGTACACCCCTTCCTAAACCCACCCCCTCTTGGGTCAAATGGCCCTTGGATGTCTCGCTCTGCGACATGTTCCTCCACCTATTATTAAAACTACTGTTATTTCATTTCAAAATGACACCTGAAGTAATAATGTATATTTTTCTTAATAAAATCGAGTTTGTTGTATTTATTTATTAACAGTTTGATCTTTTCTTCCATTTCTGCTATAACACTAAATTAAAGTATCAAACCTAACCAGAACAACGAAAGACCAACGCACATGTTTAGCATGATGATTAAACAAGAGTGCCTGGCCGCTGTCAGCCTATCGGCACTGAATGGCAGAGGACAGCTAGGTATTGGAAACTGACACATTTGATCTAGTTTATGAATTTTTCAATGTACGAACACTCCCTTGGTACCTAGGGGTATGTGTCCGTAAAATGGACGTTACTGTACTTCAACAATGCTTTTTTCTTTATTCTTCAACTAAATTCTTAAACCCCTCTCAATTTTGTAACTTATTTCACCCAAACTCATATTATCACTCTACCCAGGGGTTTAGCCACAAAAATGAAATAGGCCATCCAAAATATGCTTTAGTTTTATGCAACATTTGATAGATTCGAGAATTTGCTAAATTTAGAGTAGGCCCAACTAGGCTAGGCCGAGCTGAGTTGGCCCAACTACTGTAGTCTAGGCCGAGCTGAGTAGGCCAAGCTGTCATGGTAAAAGTGGCCGTCCTAAATAATTGTTGGCTGTCTAAAGGCGGCCAGACCGCTCTGACTAAGCCCATGCTCCTCCTAAGGTTGGCACTCTAGTATAAAAGGACTTCTTTTCAACATATTAGATTTAGTGGACCTAAACTATGGAACAGTTTAACTGACCATATCAAAAACTGTGAATCAAAGAAAGGCTTTTCCTAAATCTTTAAGAAGAATAATAATAATAATAATAATAATTTGCGATTTGTATAGCGCCTCCCGTTAGACCAACCTCGAGGCGCTTCACAACAACGGAAGGAAACGGACAAGAGAATAAAAAACCATGAACCAAGACTAACAAAGAAAAAGAAAACTCCTAAACGAACCAAACCAACACCGCACCGTTTATCGGCAATTTAAGGCGTAAAGCCCGCCGATGCATGACTCACAGGTGCTCAAGTGATGGCGGTGTCTAGCTAAGCAGTTAAAAGAAGGGAAAAAAACAAAAAAGTGGTAAAAAGTTTCTTAAAGGAATTCAGCAAAACAATCACTTAATTTCTTCAGTAGTTAAAAAAATTATTACCCAAATACCAATTCGTTTACTGTAGATGATCATTTTTCATGCTTTTGTCTCTTTTATGTCCTCTTCTTTTTGTAACCTGTTTTTATCTTCTGTCACCTGTTTTGTATTCAGTTTTCGCTGTCATTTTTTTTTTGGTGATCCGCTTCTCGAGCGGATCACCTCTTGTTATTGTCAGAGATCTTCTTACTTCATCTTTTTTTTATTCTACCTTTCCTTCCATTTCTGTTCGCACAATATCTCAAAATTGCTAAGAGTTACGCACACGGTCGCTTCATCGATCATTTTGTCTTTGCCCGGAATAGTCACGGTAAGGTTTTCAAGGTGACCAGTAATGCGTGACGTCATCTACGCGCAATTTTGCGTTTTTACATTATCGATCATAGCAGCCTAACCAATTGCCATTTCGAAAATGTATTAAGTGAGTTGAATGTAATGTACCCTAATTTTATGCGTGCGCCTGATAACGCGCGCGTACTCGTGCGTCAAATTTTTAATATGCTCGAAATCACTTTTTGACTAAATGAGAGCACGTTTCAGGCCATTTTGAGCATTTCAAAATTTTTTTTAATTTTCCACTTCGCGCGCGCATTTTTACGTGCGCAGCACGTATGGAAGCTAGAATTTACATTTTTTTTTATATATTGTAGGTTCCTGACATTGTTTTTACTAATTTCCATTCTTTTCGGTCATCTTATGGCGAATAACAATACTGTACGCACACAAACATAGGGATCTTTGTACGGATTTGTGATACAGTAAAAATATGCTAAAATCAGGCCTATTTTTAATCAGTTATAGCTCCTTAGGATGAAAGGTGACCCCCAATTTTTGTTACATATTCTGAACGCACATGAGTTGTAGATATGATTTTATAGATCATAATGGCTGATCGGACATTGTGATGTCATCATTTTGCCACCTGAATTCATAAAACTGAATTTTATCGATGATGTCATTTTTTAAAATACGCATTTGAGCGTATCTCGCTTATCCTTGGTCGATCGTCTTCCAACTTTGAGTATGTTATAGCTGAGACAATTCATTTTCGTACATGTGACTTTTTCTTACATTTTGATGACGTCATCATGGTCAAAATAAATGTTGTTTTAGACATCTTTTTTCCTCAAAACATTGAAGACCCCATATTCATCTTAACCATTCGCCATTTCTGAATCATATTTAATGGGATACACTTCAGGTCAAGGTTGAATGTCCTGTACATCAGTTTTCCATCCGCGCGTCTGAACGTGCGCGTACGCATGCGTCAACATTTATATACCGTATTCTCACTCTCTTACTTTTTCGAATCGTCGATCCGAAAGTATGCAGCACTGATAGATGTTGTTAAAATACAGATATACAGATACATATATATATATATATATATATATATATAAAAAAAAAATATCTCAATTTTTTGTGAAACAGTATACTGTATTTATTTATAAATTTTTTATATATTTATTTATATATTTATATATATTATTTTATATTTATTGTATATTTATAATATATTTATTTGTATATTCAGTTATATATATGTATATATTTATTATATATTTATTTTATATACTTATTTGTATATATATATATATATATATATATATATAAATATACAAATAAATATACAAACAATATATAAAAAAGATTTAAATAATTATATAAAAAAATATATAAACATATAAATACATATACACAAAAATATATAAATATATAAAAAAATATTCAAATAAATATACAAATAAATATATAAATAATTACAGTCCAAAAGTGTATGTACTGTGCATGACTGGACTACACAGGCAAAGTTCCCGGTGAAAAAGAAAGATTTAAAATGTATGGCTCGCATGACTCGCTGACTCGCATGGCTCGCGCATTGGCTGGCATGACTCGCTGGCTCGCACTTTGTCACGACCCGTTTCTAGGCCTAAATTCTTCGCAGAGAATGCAGGCCTTACCTTTCAGTTGTCTGGACACCTAGGCCCATCTTGCCTAGGCTAACTGAACTAGAGGGCTAGGGCCTAGGCCTTGCTACAGGCTTGGTAAGTAGTGGTAGGTAGCGTGATGTCTCCTCCTCTACTAGCCTATGCAGTGTCGCACCTAAGAGTTTTGATATGGAGGGTATGATGCTGGTGCGGAGGTAAGTGGGGAAGGCGTGGGTTGCTCGAAAACAAGGTGATACGATGAGGTGATTTTAATTATGTTTCTCTCAACAGTGGCAGTGGTGTATCTATTGGCAGTACTGTCTGCGGGTACAGTATGTGCATGGGTGACTCTACAAAAATGCTCGAGCCCCACCGAGTCACCCAATCTCTCCCTCACCCCCTTCATATCACACTCAAGTAGAAAAACATCTTATTTTGTGAGCTAGTTCCTCTTTTATATTGGAGAAAAATTGCACCACAGGGAGGCTATGCTTTTAGTACTGTGTAGTGTAAAAGGAATAATTCTAGTTCTAATTAAAGCTGCTAATACGAAAGACCATGGAAGCTTTGTAACATTGCATAATCATTAGACCTTCCAATTCATTCAGTATACTGTACAAACCTGGCCCTTGTTATATTAAAAACCTCTGGCATATAATTAATAAAAAGTATGTAAACCATCGCAAAGTATGTTTTTTTTATGATGATATGCATGATGAAGTAACTATAATAGTGTTTTGTTTTTTCTATAGATTTCAACCAAACATGAATACATATGCACCCTATAATAAAGACTGGATAAAAGAAGCTATTTATGTTATGCTTCGAAAACAGGCAGGAAAACAATGATGTAGCAGTTGGCAGGTGACAGTCCATGTGATAGTCTCCAAGACTTACAACAGAGCCTCATAGAAAGTAACAAGGGAAGTGCTGAGTGATATAATGCTCTGCTCCGTACAATTCCATTGAAGTGTTTGTTGGATGTTCAATTTTCATCAGAATTGACATTATTTGTTATCAAGGCCAACACATTATTTTTAGAAATTCAGTTGATAGTTAAATATAGATTTTTGATTTTTGATTTTTTCTTTCAATGTTGTTATAAAGATACATAGAAAATTTGCAAGATATTTCTCTTTTAACAAAAGCTTTGCCCATATTCTTTTTAAGACTCAAGAGTAAAGCTATTGTGTAGTTCTGAAACAACAATACAAAACACTAGACGGAAACCTGAAATCATGCTTGTAAATCTCTACCATATTTGTCTTTTTGAGTATCATGTATGTAAAACCTTGAGTTGATGTATGTTAGCAATGATAATGAAAAAGAATTGTAAGGATCATTTTTGGGAAGGAGTGTACCTGAAACTGTGTTAAATTTGTTGTTTTGAAATTGCCACCACATTTTACTATGATTTATTTCATCTGTATAAGAAAGAATTGTTTTTATACAGCACAGTATGTATATTTTTAAAATTGTTATTGCATTTTTCACAATTCATTTTCATGATGCTGTAGAACGAGGTGCATTCCCATTACATAGTTTCATAGTTACATAGTTTTCATCTCTAATAACTGATCACAATGGCATTGGTATATATTTGACTATAGAAACATAGAATCCATGTTTCTTTGAATAGATGAAATCCGTCAAAAGATTTAACCAATTTCATCAGGCATATTCTTCATCTTGAAATAAGGTAGAGAAACATTTATAATCATATTAAATACTTGGCAATAATACTGGTAATAGACTATTATAAATGTATCTTTATACTAAAGTACTTTATTAGTAATGCTATCCAATAAAAAACATCCGTAACCATGCATTCTACTAATGTTGACCAGATTTGTTTTTTAAGCCAAGCTAGCACATTTAGTGCAATTTGATACATACCTTGTTATGCAAAGAACAATTCAGTATATTTTTCTTCAACTTCAGTACGATCTCAAATATGGTAATCAGGGTTCTCACCAGCATTTTAGAGTGATGGTCGGTGACCACCCCCACCCCAGGAGGAGTGGTCGCCGACATCAAACCCCCTCCCCCGGCTGACAAAATCAAGTTAATCAACTCGCTACTCTGGTAGTCGTGCAATGAAAGTATTTTGTTAGCCTACATTTTTTTCCACTATCAATTGCAAAAATAGTGGTGGTCGGCAGCCCAAAAATACTGGTCGGAAATGTTGAGTGCAGGACGGGACCAACTACCGCTGACCAGCGTGGTGAGAACCCTGGGTAATGAAAAAACAACTTCCTTATTTTTTAAAGATAAGCTAAACACATGAAAAAAAATCTATTGAATTATACAGTAAGATATTAAGCATCATCAAGAATTAGTATCTGTTAGCTAACTAATTAATCAACTAAGTAAAGAAGTTTACCCTCAGTAAGATATACCATGCATTTCAACATAGCCAAAAAGACTTTATCCTCAAGAAAGAATACAATGTATAGCAATGCTAAAGCAATTGCTGATAATAAATGAATATGTGCTTTCTGCACCAACTACTTTTAACAGTGCATTCTGCATTTCAAGCTTGAAAAGTAATTCCTAAAAAGCAAACTAAACAACTGTCAAAGAAAATATCCATTAATTCAAATAAAAAAAGAGAAATGTAAATAGGAGTTTATGAAAAAAAAGCATGGTTAATCAAATTCAAATAAATAAATGTACATTAAATAAAAAAATCTTGTGCTAGGCTTAAAATAAAATTAATTCTGTGGGGGTGAGGGGAGCCTCTGCACCCCACTCCCCAAAAAAAAATTAAACAGAAAATGTAGGCCTACATGAAAACCAATAAGGTAGCAAATAAAAAAAGAGAAATGTAAATAGGAGTTTATGAAATAATAGCATGGTTATTCAAATTCAAATAAATAAATGTACATTAAATAAAAAAAAAAAAATCTTGTGCTAGGCTTAAATTGAAATTCTTTAAATTGATACACCTTTTTTCAGTTTACAAAATCATCATTACCATTACTTTTTATGCTATGATATTGTTAATGCAGTATTATATGGTATTCTTCCTAATAGGGTATTACTGTATCTTCTAGTCTTAAATAAGAATCCATTGGCAAATTTAAGCTTTACTTCTACAAAAATACTATACAGTATATTGCAAGTCGAATTACCAATCAAAGCACAGGTTTTGTGACATATCCCTGTCTAAAGGTTGTTTTGTTTTGGATAACTTCATCACATGTTTTCTTTATGTGTTAAAGCTTAAATACCGTATATCAGTGCTTTGGGGCAATTAGTAATTTAAAAAAAAGTATTTTCTTTGAATAAATTTTGGCTGCTGTTATTTTTGATTATTTTCTTATTTAACTACAGGTATTTGTAATTCTTGGGTATATGTCTATACTTTTTAAGTTTGTTTTCATTGTACCAGCAATTTCCCCTGGAAAAATCCCTAGGGTATGGTTTGCATGTAGTATTTCAGAAAATAAAAACTTTTAATTGGGCATCAGTGTGTTTTCTTGTTCTGTGGATGCACTAGGTATATGCCCAATTACATGTTCAAGGGGACGGGATTACCTGAGGAACTACTGGATGCAATTACTATATTTCATCAAATACACATTTTGAATTGTATTACCACTTTTACAATTTGTAATAATAACCCAAATTACTGTATTTGATGTTTTTATCTGTTAGTTTGTAGTTGCAAGAAAGTAAACTGCTTTTCAGAAATGTACAGTAATTAGATTGCCTGATCGGTTTTGCTTTGTTTAAAAAATTATTTGATATAAAATTTCATTCCAGTACAGAATGGCTTTTGTCTCTACCTCCTCATTAGTGGATAGGTAACTACTGTACACCATATTTTGATAACGTTTGAAATTAAAAATAAACAGCTTAAGTAGTTATGTCTCATGTTTTTTTTTTTTCTGGAATAGGCCTATCTTGCTGGACGGTAGGCGATGCGACAGTATTATACGATCGCTTGCGTTTTGCTCGTCTATATAGATTTAAAAATGGCCTTTGTTTTAATTTTGTGTATTGTCTACATTTTAGACATAAACACATTGCTCCAAAAAAAACAAAAAAACCGACTTACTCATTTTTTGGATTTTCTCAAAATGTGGCACGCAAGAATGTTTTGTTTTGGCCTAATTATCAGCCCATTCCTCAAGGTTCTGAAAAAAAAAACATTCATTCAAATTATAAATGAGTATGATAGACATGTAATGAAATAAGAAATTTTTGTTAATTTGTAGTAAAAATGTTCTGTATCTAAGCACCAGGGGCCCAACTTATTAATGATTATACTAGAGTCACAGAGACAACCTCAACAGTCATTGATCTTATATTTGCATCAGATCCAAGTAAAATTTCTCAATTCGGTGTGTTGTCCTTGGGGGTGAGTGATCATTTCTTGACGTATTGTAGTAGAAAATTAGTCAAATTAAAAAACAAAACAATTTTTATTAGATCTATGAAGGGATATTCAGCTGAAAAACTAAACTTACTGAAATCAATTGGACCGATGTAATAAATGCTACTGACGTTAATATTGCCTGGTGCAAATTTAAGACGAAATTTTTAGCAGTAATTTATGAGGTTGCTAAAATGTGTAAAGACTAAGCAACGATCTGAGCCATGGTTGACTACTGAAATTTGAGAACTTACAATTCAAAGAGATAAATGTTTATCTAAATTTAAAAAAAACAAAAAAACAGAGACAGTAGTTTTCTTACGCAATTTAAAAAATTTAGAAACACTGTACGTTACAAAATTAAAAAAGCAAAATCGAACTATTTTTCTGACCAACTTAGTGAAAATCAAAACAACCCCAAAAAACTTTGGAAAACTTTAAAAAGTCTTGGTGCTGGCAAGAACGTTAAACAAATTAGTAACCTTTCCTTAAAATGTAATGATTATTTGAATTCTTTTTTTGTTAATACAGACAAGATGCAAGAGCATTGTTCAGCCGCTCACATCCATTATCAATTTATCTATTAGAACTGGATGTATTCCTAAAGACTGGAAATGTGCCCGGGTTATACCCATCTATAAGAAAAATGATAATGCTGTGAATTATCGGCCTATATCTATACTATTTGCAATTTCCAAAATTGTTGAACACATTATTTATGATCAATTAATGGGCTACTTAACTGATCACCTTTACGATTTCCAGTCGGGCTTTAGGCCATCGTTCTCTACTGACACTTGCTTGATTCATCTGTCTGATTATATACGTAAAAAATGGGATAATGGTGAATATACACTGGTATGTTAGTCTTAGACTTTAAAAAGGCGTTTGACACCGTTCAACACGATATTCTTTTGTATATATTAAGAACTAAAGGGCTATCTGATATCTCTATTGTATGGATGCAATCATATTTGAGGGGAAGCTGTCAAGTCGTTGACATAAATGGTACTACATCTATGCTAGAAACGAAGTGTGGTGTGCCACAGGGCTCAATACTTGGGCCTCTTCTATTTCTAGTGTAGGATGCGAATTATTATTGTATGTTGTTGATGCAGCGTTAATGGTATCAAGTAATAATGTAAAACCTATTGAAACTCAATTAAATGAAGAACTAAAATCTATAAATAAATGGCTTATTGATAATAAACTAACGCTACATTTACACAAAACTGAATCCATATTATTAAACACGAAATATGTGTAGAAGACAGTCAAAATTGGATATTACCTTTAATAATTGCAAGATAAATGCCAGAACTTGTATTAAGTACCTGGATTGGATTGGATTTATTCGGTGTAAACACCAAGGATAGCCCACGAAAGTCTAGAGGAAGACTTATTTCCAGTGGGGTCCTTCTGGTGGTGATTGGACTGTACACCGGGAGACAATCCCATACTCTTTTCCGAAGAGTGTACTGTGTTCTTTAACGTGCACATGGGCCATAAATGCACATAAATGCATGGGTAACTAATCACTTCAATAATAATAATAATAATAATAATAATAATAATAATAATAATAATAATAATTATAATTATAATTATAATAATAACATACAATCCTCATTTCCTGGTTAGTAATTTACAATACCTACCCCACCCCACCCCACTCCCCATATAGAAGACAATACGACATAGGGCTTATCTTATTTATAATATAGGCCACACACGTGTGTTTGAAACTAAATATAAGCATTTTCATCATGGTTTTATTTATTACAGACATATTCCTTCACCATCTATACACATTGAGGCCCTTCTTTTAGGTAATGATCTATCTTAAATTTGTCTTTCTTGAGTTTGGGACTATTATGTGCTTAAATAACTTAAAAGGATAAAATTTAAAAAGCCCTAAAAAATGCGCGCAAAATATTTTTGTGTTTTTAATTCTAATTTCGTCGGAATTGATGAAAACTCCCTAAAATGTGCAATTTATAGAGGAAATTGACCTACCGTAACAAGAAATGTGCGCAAAGAATTTGAGAATTTTAGGCACTTTCAGAGGATGCATTTGTTAAGGGGTGGGGAAAGGTTTTCCAAAGATGGATATTTTCCCCTTGTCCGCTGGTGTTTTTAATTCTAATTTCGTTGAAATTGATCAAAACTCCCTAAAATGTGCAATTTGTAGATGGAATTGGGCCATGTTAACAAGAAATGCGCGCGAAATTTGAGGTTTTTAGGCACTTTCAGGGGATGAAAGGGCATTTATAAAGTGGTGGGGAAGATTTTTCAAAGATAGATATTTTCCCCTTGTCCCCCAGTGGTTACGCCATCGGGCAGCATAGATCAAAGGAGTTATGACAGTTTTTGAAGTGGAAAAGGGGTTGCAGGGTGTTGTGAGTCTGGTCATTATGATATCTTCCTTTTTATTCTTGTCTTTATTTTTCTCTTCTCTTTTTCTTTCC